CGGTACCTGCCATATTTTTGGATTTTACAACTGCTTTCGACACCGTTAACCATAACACACTAGTCTACAAAATCAGTCCACATATCCCCCGCTTCCTCCTCGCACTCATTTCCAACTACCTGACCGACCGCTCCTTCTATGTCAACCATCTCAACTCCTCTTCCTCCCTCAGACCAATCCTCGCCGGCGTCCCGCAAGGAGCCGTCCTCTCCCCTATCCTCTTCTTCTTATACACGAACGACTTGCCGACCTCACCTCCGACTAACGACTACGTATACGCCGACGACACGGCTCTGGCAGTGACGAGACGTAGACTACCCCACTCCGCCCAAATTTTACAAAAGGACTTAGACAACATTACGACTTGGGCAAAAGACAACAACTTGAAACTAAACCCCCACAAAAGCGCTGCAATATTTTTCAATAGAGGATACCCTGGCAAGGCGCATCCAACACCACCCCCGCTCACTATAGACAACACTGAAATTCACTGGACTAACGAAACAATATACCTAGGCATCACTCTTGACCGCAACTTTCATGGAACAGACATGTTGACACAATCACCCAAAAAGCAAACAGACGACTAAACTCCATCATGTTGACACAATCACCCAAAAAACAGACGACCAAACTCCCTCACACCTGTCCTGACACACCCACCAAGACCAAACTATACATCTACAAGACATATATCAAACCAATACTGACGTATAACTGTGCGACCTGGGCAACGACATCAAAGACTAATTACAACAAACTAATAAAAACTGAAAACCGCTTTTTACGCCTCTCATTTCGACCCCCTCCACTCACAAACTACAACAGAATCCGACAAGCACTTAAACTAATGCCAATTTACAAAGACATTTTCGACATCGCACACAAGGACGTTGACAACGCCCTCACGAAAAACCACTATACCGCATTTTTCCAAACCCGCCCCCATCAACACGTCCTTCACAACCCACCCCTCCATAAATCACGATTTCTTCACCCCTTTGACATCCTCAAACTTCCCCCGCCCAGCACCTCATAGCTCTACTTACCCAGCGATATCGGCTACAAATAAACTACCTCATTTCTCTCACATCTTTCCACCTCTTATCCCCCGCCTCCCCGCCCCTTCTCAACGAACACCGTCACGTACGGGGTAGCGAGAGATTCCTTCCCACCTCCCCCCTCGCCTTTCATTTATTACACGCTAGTGCCACACACCCAAACTGGGAAGAGCGAAAAGCAGGCCCAGAGTGATGCTCACCAGCCTAGACAAAGACAAAGTAATGGCTTTGTTGAAATTTATTGATTCAGGTATACCAACGAATATTAATTATACAGTCACCTCTGATCTGAAACTTCAATGTTTCATGTAATCGACTGATTTTTACAATTTGTCCAAATTTATTATGGTTGAAAATTATAATGGTAGACTTCTTGACCTGATTCTAGCTAATATTAAATGTACAGTTTCTAAGACATAATTGAAATTGATTTATCATGAATCCGTAGTGATTTCCGTCAGTTACTTTAAAAAAATACTTGATCATATAAATACAATCAATTAATTGAATAATCTAAAACCATTTCATGAAATAAATATTGCTACCTCTTACTTTAACCATACCAGGAAAAATGGGAAAAAATAACTTATACCAAAATGATTACCTACATTTATCCAACAAATTTGGGGCATAACCCTAGACCGCACCTTAACGTATAAAAGCTCACTTAAAAAACACATCTGCTAAATCTCGCACCAGAATCAATACTTTGCAGAAGCCGTGTGGGACAACTAGGAGTGCTGCTACCTCCGTACTTTGTACATCAACTCTCGGACTTGAGGACAATGAAGCGATTTGGAGTTACAGTTTGGATGATCAGCCACTATGCCCATTCGGTCAATAGCCAATTAAATAATTCTATGCACACTATCACTGGATCCTTTAAGTGTACTCTCATCTACTGGCCTCCCACCTTGAGCCTCATTGTTCCCCCTGACTCCAAGGAGATAGAGAGCCCTACTAGAATTCTCGAAGATCGCAATTACATCCAAACAGGCTTGCTCAATAGACTGAAATATGGAAACCTTCCATTCAAGACTTATGCTCCTTTGAATGCAGTAGCTATTTTGAAATTAACTCTATTCAATCAATATAATGTTAAACCAAAAGTCTAAAACTCACTCCAAATACTAATTTACAGATGACCCTTTGGATTATAGTATATTTTCAGAATTGCGCAAAATATGTAAATAAAAATCTCATCTTGATTAACATGATTATGCGATAAATATTGAAAATTCTAATCCATCTAATATAAAGTCATTCTGAAACTCCATTAACAATAAAAGAGAAACAAATGGTACTCGAAATTATATTTTTGATGACAATGAAACAGTTGACACCCCTCAAAAGATAGTAGATATTTTTGTTGATTATTTTGAATCCATATACAGTAATTAAACTTATGAAATTATTTCTTTCAAATTACGTGTTTTTATTATTTGTTGACGACTTAAAAATCTATACAGAAATTAATACCGTTATTCATTACAAACTACATGAGTGCTAGAATAGTCTTGGAGTAAATCAAATCAATAAACTTTAATACAAATAAGTGTAAAGTGACGAAATTCACAAAACACACAAATATAGTAGACCATGAATATTCTATTGATGGAGTACTCAAGTACTGTAATACTCGAATCAGTCAAAGAAATAAAAATCTTGGAATTATTTTGATCCAAAAATGAGAATTCATAGACATACAGATAATATTGTAGATAAAGGTAATCAAATGTAAGGAATGTTAGGATTTATTATGAAAACTGCAACTGACTAGAAACCCTTCTGAAATTAGAACTTTGAATTTAACATCCGTAAATAAAACAGTAAAAAATTTAATGACAACTTATTTCCATTCAAATTATTAAATCATGATATTGACACTAACAAAATACTATCTGTGATCAATTGGAAAATACGGTTGCTTTACCTCAGATTTAAGCAAAATTATAAATTTCACAAGAACTAATTTGGATTATTATTCTCCTATATGGCATATGTGCAGATACTATAAAAGTGATTTCGACATAATCTGAATCTCTGTAAGTCAATTTGTTAATTATACAAAGTCACATTATCTCTGCGATTTCAAATAAAATTTATTTTTATAATATACTTATTTCTAGAATTATTATTTTTACAATTATAAATATTGTAACAACTTGTAATGTTGGGCAATTGCCTGTTTAGATGTAAATAAATAAATAAATAAATAAATAAATATACGAAAACAAAAAAAATAATAGTATCATAAGAAGTTGCATTTTTTAAAACTTATGTTTAGTACTCCCTTTTTTTTCTCCAAATGCTCACTTCACAGATATACTCACTTCAACAACAGTAAATGTGTATCTTCCAAATATTACATACATTATAATTTGCAACACTCACAAAAGAAATACTTCCATTTCACAAAATAACATATACGGAGCATCTCACAACACTTATCAATCTCCCACACCCTATTAGTCAGTTGCAAATATAGCAAACACCTCATAATATACTGTGGATTTTTAAAGGTGAAAGAATCTTTCCTTCGCAGGGGAAGTAAAGCCAGCTGTCCCCTGTTGTACATTTATTGCATGTAAACGATCCTCAAGCCAAAAAGAAGCCTCTAATATAATTCCAAATCGCCTGCACAAGTAAAACCTTCTTTACCCGTTAGTTCCTGAAAGAAGTGTAGTTGAATTTGCATGGCCTGATGCAGAGCAGGCCTCGGGGCCCGAGACTCGCCAAGTAAAACAAGGCACCAGAACAATATATTCAATTCCAATCAATAAATAACTGGAGACCTTTTAAACATGAGATCTAAATCACAAATTTTGCAGCACTATCCAGAAGTTACTCTTCAATTATTTTACACTAATGTTGATTTTGAAATGTACATTCTTTGCAATTTGTTAATAAATTGAAATCTGTCACTCCAATTACACCCATTTTATGTGCGTGATCATTTTATTTTCTCCCTCACCTCACCGTGGTGAGGTGATGGAGAAAATAACACATTTTCACAACACAATTACACATATTTTCCACATCTAAGTTCTCTAAATTAAAGCAGAGAAAATGCTGACATTTACTTGCATTTGGTGGAGAAGATAATAGTTAAATTATGCGTCTTCGGGTGACAAAAACAACTTATCACTAACAATAAAAAAAAAGTTGTTTATTTCCTCTCTTTTTTTTTTCCTTCTTCTTCTTCTTCTTCTTCTTCTTCTTCTTCTTCTTCTTCCTCCCCTCATGCATTATGGTATTTAAACATTATGGTATTTAACATTAAAATACGTCCTCAAATGTTACTGTTATCCACATCACTTTATAAAATTTTAAGAAATAAATTTAGAAAATCTTCGAACTATAAGGTATTACAAGGAAAAATAAATTCATGAAAATCATAACATTATGAATAAAAAATAAATTACATTACCATATATACATGACAGTCAACATGGCAAATTTTTCACTACTCAATATCAACAAATAACAACAAAACATTCCATGAAGTCTTTCACCTGATCATTTCAAATTTGTCCTTATGATACTCAACCCATTTTCCCATAATTCAATAAATCTATACCAGTAGTTATCAATTGTATCAGAAATATTATTTGTGATTTGGGAAACTGAACAGAACAAGAAACCCCTATGACACTTGAAAGTGTTCAACTGACAGAAGTGCAAGATTTTCAGAGCACATCATAATTAACTTAAAAATGCAGCAAATGCATATTACATTCATGTCACAAATCTTGCCATCTCCAGTAACTTAAAAACATTTTGAAACATTGAACCTCATTCAACTCTTATTTGGAGAAATAAAAAAAGAAAGTGAATCTCAGTCCAAACAGTTCATTGAAGCTCTTATCTTTCAATCAACTCAAGCTTCTATCATTATCTAAAATAGTTCACAAACTATTCCTTAAATAAGGACATACCTGTGAACAATTTTAAAGGGCAGAAAATAAAATCTTTAATTTTGCTCTAAAATATTAGTATAACAATTCTATTTATGCACATCCCTCACCTTCAGCAGCTCATTGATGTGACTAGACATTTTTACAATAATTCATATTCAGTCACCCCAAATCCATTTAATTCCTCTGATTAAAACATGAACTGTGTATTCAGCAACAGATCACCGAAAAATCATTACTTAGCAACACACAGACGTTTATAACAGTATAGAAGTTATTATCAAACAGATATAGCCAAGAAAATACTTAGACAAATTGCAAATGGCAGAGGATTCATATCTTCTGCTTATCATATACAGAACCTCCACCTGAACTGACTCAGACACTTCAAATACTTTTTTATCTACAAGACTAGGTGCTGAACAAGCACCTGAAGCAGATGCTGAGAGAGTGTGTTTCAGCTCACCCAACAGGTGCACTCCAGGTCCAATAGGATGACAAGCTCTCGGGGATGATCACATGGTCACCCAGCACACTGCCTTCCTCATTCTATCACATGGCACCACATACGGTTTCACACACCTGAAGAAAAAATTGCCATTACTACATTATTATCGTATTGATATTTATTTGTTGATTGTTGCAGCAGAAATATTGCAGAATTCCGTACTAATAAATGAATTTTATGAAACTAGTACCTTGAAACAGCAAACAACACTTATCTGTTTGGCTACATTAAAAATTGCTACAACAAAAATTCTTTTTTCAATTTGATGGCACTACATAATGGTTTACATCATTGCAATTAGTATTACAGACAATGCTACACAGTAACTACAGATTAACACCACCTTATTTCATAAAAATTAAGTTAGATAAATCAGTATATATAACATCAGCAACTATCAAAGAACAATTGATTTAAGACAATTTATACATTTTGCACTCTCAAAATACAATATTAAACTTTTATATAATTGAGATGAGACATTAAAATACACACCACAATTAGAATCACATGTAATGCTTAAGTTCCTATCTCTTATCTTGGTATTACTACACTGGTATTCAATCTAAGAATATTTTTGCTAGATTATTCACACCCATTACACTGACAAAAACACCATTCAATCACAACATTACACACCACTGATCCACAGAGTTCACTTAATAAAGAAAACACAAAACCACATTACATTTAAAAGAACAGTAAAGTGAATTCGAGCTGAAGGAACTGTTAACATATGCACATTGTATTGTGACAGCAATAAAAGAGAAAACCTTGAAATACTTCTTTAATTTCTTGAGATAGTAATGAATGAAATGAGCTATTTTTACACCCTTCTACTTGCAATGGTTCTCTCAATATTTTATTCCGTTACCAGAACTACACGATATAAACTGGATCATAACCAATAATTACCATAACGTTGATGTTTTCAGAACGGTGTCGTGCCATGTGCAAGAAATAATGTATCCAATTTGTAGGAGTCTTACTCATTTCAAAATGTCATATTCTGTTCTTATCACTGCCTCCTAAATCAATATTTCTAACATAGTCAAGGTTTCACTTTGAAAATAAAATGTTACATAACAAAATAGAATTTTCACATCTCAGTTTATTGACGAGCTTTTAGAGCGCAGTGGAATGGGTTTAAAAAATGAGGAAATACAACCAGGGCTTTGCAACTCGCCATCATAACAGGAGAAAAAGCTCTAGAGTCTACTCTAGGTACCAGTCGACAGGTACAAATGCAAGTTGGGCTCATCAACTTCTGCTCATAAATATTGGCTAATTTGTGAGAAATAGTAAAAGTTGACTTTAATTGTTCAACTATTAATGAAACACACATATAAGAAACCCCTGAAGGAAGTGCAAACATCGGCGCTATCTTTTGTAACATTAACGGACTGCACGCAACCACTGAACTCGTGCAGCATACATGAACGTTTTAATTATCGTTGGCTGCAGTTCGTGGTTTAATTCCTGTAAGAAGGTAGTACGGAAGAGCGTGTAACAATTATGGTTTCCACCATATTATATAGGAGTTAAAAGGCCCTGTTCCAAACTCCCAAAATCTCAGTTATTTATAAAAGGGGAAAAGTATCTAGCCAGACAAATTGCAACCAATCATAGAGCAACAGTTAGTCAAGTAATACTCATACTATTTAATTTTGTTCCTCTGTTTTAGAATTTTGGTAATTTTGGGGATAACCCATTGTCCAACCCCAAAGTCTTAGTAACATTTTTTCCTTCACAAAAGAAGTTATGGAATATTCGATACAAAGGAACAAGTACTTTTAAAAAATGTAAATCCTGCAGTAACTAAAACTAAATTAAAACTACTGTAATGAAAAACACAACTTACCAATTTTATGTATTCAATCCTACCATCACTGGTTGCTGCTTGATACCATTCTTAGTGTGTTTTTTCAAATTTCCAGAAAATTTCTGCCTTTTGTACACAACTTACATTCCATAACTTAAATTGATGGAAATAAATATTCGTTGCTTTTCTCACTGCTACACTGCAACAAATCAAAAATTTCAACACTATCATTACTGTCCAGACTATTCTCATTATTTTTATCTGGTTAGGACACAAAGTGAATTGGTTATGTTAAGTTTTAGTTTCCTTCTTTCAATATCTTCGCATTCACAAATTTGAATTGTGCAAATAATAAATAAAACTTCTCGATTCTGTACATTTATAGTACTTAAGAATATCTTGGGGATTTTTTTATTTAATATACTTATTTATTTTTTGTTAAAAGTTAGGACTTCATATTTTGTAAAGTTCTGTATTCTCATTAAGAGTCATTTAAGAAATATTAGCATGTGTAAAAAGTAAATCACTTTCTTAAAACACTGTTAGAAAAATAGCCATGAGAGTGTCATCAGTATCCAACTGACACTGGAGAAATCTAAACATTGTATTTTGAAATACATCAAGTTGAAGATTATCCTGAAAATGTGTCTACTCAACACAGTTTGATAGATGGAAGTTAAACCCAGGTGTTATCTCCCACTTCAAATATGTAATATTCTCTTTGAGAAACAAAAACTCAGATCTTGAGTAATTGTAAATTTTACGTGAACATTTTTTACTGTTTTGTAAGTGTAATTAAATAAGGGTACGTACTTGAATTTTTTTAATCATGCGTTTGAAGTAAATCAGCTGTTGACTGTTGCATTCAATTCAGATCTTGAACATTACCATCACTGCTTGACATCACTGTTGCAATGAATAATCTCCGGACTCAATGAAACCGTCAACACGTGTAACCTGCCAGAAGCAGGACTAAATAAATCATTTTGTAAATCATAATTTTCACGAATTAAAGTATAAAAAAATGTTTCTTAGCAATGAAAATAACTCTGCAAAATCAAAAATCGACTTTACCACTTCACTTATACATAAATAATGTGTTACATCAACATTTTATTTAAAAAATTATATTCAAAGTTAATTGAAAGATATTAATGTACTTAGTTTCTGTAAGTAAATAAATATTTAATCTTGTATAAAATGTTCAAAAAACCATATTTAAAAATCTAAGCAATTACTCAGATTTCATTCCTTTTAAAATGAAAAATTAAATATAAACTATTTTAGTAAATTATCACAGAAGCCTGCAATCATTACTGCTAACATATTAGCACTTATGTGCATATAAACAGTCTGAAATTAGTGGACATTAAAGAAAAACTTAATTTATTTTAAATTAAAATATGTTAAAAATATAAAAATATGTAAAAAATTTGAGAAACTACTTACGCGTCTAAAAAAATCCTTTATAATGCATTTAAGAAAAATTAAATGTTATATAAAATATTCAAGAACTGCAACTGCAGAACTCATAATAACATTTAATTATTCAATCGTTAATTTTCGAGAACATAACGCTCAAAAATTCATTAATAAAGACACATTCCTAAAAATGTCAAGTTAATTAGAATAACAGTACCTCATATTGAAGCCAATGCTTCTTCAAACTGCCCATTTGATTGATACAATCTAGCGAACATCTTGACAGTAACTGCCACAAGTCATCTTCAGCTATCGCACTCCCCCTCAGCATCGTAAGTTCTGCAACTATAAATTACCTAAGTTAAAAAATACTGAAGTCTTCCGATAGCCTTCTTTGAACCACACACATATATGCACTCACTTTCTCCTCCATAATCTACATAGATCATACTACTATGGCAGCAGACCACTACACATGGCATGATAGTTGAAGAACACGTCCCCGCAGCAGCTATGAAAACGACGACTGTCGCTGCCCGGTGTCTGAAGTCGACTGCAGCTAACGCTCAGGAGACGCGCTTCCAGGAAGGCGAAAGAAATATGACGTACTTAGAATCAAATCAGCCAATCCAATCAGCCACTCACGACCGCGTGACGTCAGAGCTCTGATGGAGAGGGTTGTAAACTTCAACAGCTGATCTGTAAGAAAGTATACTTTTAAAAAATTGAAATAATGTCATTGAATTTACGTCAATCCCTCATTTTATTCACATGACTGACAAGTCCAAGAAGCGTATTCATAGTCGACACTTCTACGATAAGTAATCGCTTAAGTAATAAGCATATTACAGAAGCATAATTATTCGAGAAATGCACACAGGCAATATTTCGCAACATTGCTTTATTGGTTACGAGATACGAATCTAGAAGGTCGCGTCAATCTTGTTCACAATTTTGGCGCTCCTTATAAGCGTATAAATAGCATTTGGTTTTATCGACAGAATTTCAACACAAAACAAATAAATTTAGTTTCGTTGCTTAAATGCATTAAATCCTGTGCGGATAATTGCTATTAGTAGAATTTTTCCTATTTTACTTTATTAGTATATATAATTATTGGTGTATGATATTTGTGTAATACATGAAGGATATTTTATGACTTTTTAATTATTTCTTGATACCTCATCAGATATTTCTGTAATTATTCAACAAAGGGCTGACTTATTGAGATCTGCACATAACAAATGAAAAATTATTTTTTTTTCATATGCATTGTGATCAATGTAAGATAACCTGTAAAACATGGTCCTCGTAA